TACAGGTGTACAATACCTCACCCAGCTAATTTTTGTATTTGTAGTAGAGACAGGGTATATATAGCCCTATGTTTATAATAGAACAGCTTTTAACAGGACATGGATCACAGAAGAGAAATGAACATACATTGAGTGGCTACTCTATGCAAGGCATTGTTTCAGACACCAAAGTTGTCTTCTTATTTAATCTCTGCAATAGCTGTGTGAAACAGGCACTATTCCCGACTTAAGATTTTGACACTGAGGCTCAGAGCAATCCATAAAACAAATGACAAACTGGGTAGCCCCAGTAATTGTCCCTGTTTTTTCTCCCCTCTTTAGTATCATAAGCATCGGCACTTAATGAAGTATAAAAGGCATAAAAAGAATACAATAGTAAAAGAAATAAAGATTTCAATAAAGAATAAAAGGAAAAACAGCCAGTCTCTTACCTCTCTGGATGGGCATGGAACTTCACCAGACTGCTATACAGCTGTCTCTCTGCTTGTAAGGCCTCATTGAGCCGACTCCGTTCATCCACTAGTCCTTCTAGCATCAGCAGCAACTGAGAAAAGAAGAGAGAAGAAGCAACACGCAAATGGCACAGTGAGACATGAAGCCACAGTTAACCTGAGAAACAAGAAAATGCATTAGCATGTACTAGGACTTAAAAAGCCCACTATCTTAGTACTTAAGCTTTTGATACTATTTTATAGTTTTCAAATCAATGTCATATTATCTTTTTTTATCTTTAAAAGCCTGTAAGGTGGAATTCAAACTAGACTGTAATGTCTTTCCTATAGATCCCACATATCCATACAGTCTTTATGGTAAGGACAAGTTATTTTAAAGAAACCCTTTAAAGGAATTTAGCAATAGTTAAATATCACGCACTCAAAATACCCATTCACAGGCATTTCAATTTCATGATCCTGAAAACAGGACAGAATCAAAAAGTAACATTACTCTGGATTTGATAAATGTGAGAAAAACAGGAAGAGGATGTGGAAACTAAAATATCTGATATGAATAATCAGATAATGGCTAAGGTAAAACCACAACAAGGGAGACTAGGGGATTTTTAAAACTGGTGTTTCTTAAACGCCACACATTCTCATATCCTGAAAACTAACTGAGTCATAAAACATGAGTCTGTTTGTAAGCAGAAATATGGTAATGAAATCAAAAGATAAAATATGATAATTCCATCACAAATACAAACACAGGTTTTATATTAGAGATCTAGCTATGGCAAAAGGTAGAAAAAAACTAAGGAGCTATTTGGACTAGCTGCTCACCGGAATTCAGGAAGCCATGACACTGACTGACTCTTTCAAAAGAGAGCCCAACACAGTAACAAACAAGCTTTACAGGTTTCAGAACAGTCCTAGTACATCTCTGCGCTGCGAGATGTTCCGCCTAATGTCTATATTCTATCTCTACAACCACACTCAGTTCTATAGCAGTGAATTATGTTCATGCTCAAGAGTTCGTGAGCAGAGCCTACTGCTAGGTGACAGACATAGCAACATACAGCTATAGCTGAGACCACTAGAGCACATACTACATACTCACAGCGAGTATTGTGCGGAAACAATCTTAGTACTCTATACAGAGAGCTATATTAAAAGCGATATAGAGGCTAGTAGGGCACTAGAGAGGGAGACGGAGACACTCACCATCTTAGAACAGTACGCGTGTACTACACAGAGACGTTGAGTTTAATACACACAGTAGCTCTACAGACATGAGAGAGCATTTATGAGAGGAGACTAAAAGGCAAATCTAGGACAAGAATGCTCCACACACGGTAATTAAAATTGTTTCTAAATAGAAGTACATATAATTACACAGATGCTCCCCTATTATATTTGAGAAAGTTGCATGATAGCTACTTCAGCCTGTGCAGTGATACACACTTTTCGAACATTCCCAGGCGAGCAGAATACAATCCTTTGGAAGAAGACAATGACACGCTGTTATACACAGGGCATCGGCTGCTTCTCGCCTCCTCGCGGGAAGTACCCGAATTCCCAACGCCCAAAGGACTATTCCCTTCTCCATACCAATAGTACGTTCAAAGTGCCAACACACACACTACAAAGGAATATAACAAACTATCAGTCACCACTCACCTTCGGTTCGCCTGGCGCGCGACATCCCACACACCCACATTCCCCCACGCACACCCTTCATCCTATACAAGATAATTGACCAGACACGCACTTTACTTTGGAGCCACGGCATTTAAGCTACTGGGAGCGGGGATGAGAATCACATTTAATCCAGGGAGGTGGAGGTTACAGGTGGAGCCAAGACTTTGCACTGCAACTCCAACCTGGGTGACAGACAAATCTCTGTCTCAAAAATAACATTAACAATTAGCTACTCTAATTAACATAAAAAAATTTTGCTAGACACTCTCATATATATATATATACGTATAAAAGATAATATATACTATACTATACTTTCTCATGTATTTTAACTGAATCTATGATGAGAAAATGAGGTGTTCAATGCCCACTTGCCCATTGGAGAAAGAGCTGTCCAGGATGGCTTCAGGACAAAGCAGCATCCCTTAAGATTTTCAGTATTTATGTCTAGTAATTCATACCTAGAACCTCTCATAAACACATCCATTTATCCATACATTCATTCAACAAACATTCCTGATCTCCATGTCCCCCAAATCTCTTCTAGAACTGGGATGGCTACAATGGATAAAAAAAAACCACTAAGATCCTTATTCCACGAAAGTTTACATTAAATGGGAAAGAGGTCAGACATTTAAACATAACAATAATTTGATGACTGACAAATATAATTTTTAAGCACTTTATGGCATAGAGTAAAATCAGCAGCAGGCCTACTTCAAATAGGTGGGGAAAGTCCTTCAGGCTGAACAACATTGAAACTGAATATAAGAAAAGGAAGCAGCTTTTCCTAGCTCTAGGAAAAAGCTGTCCACAAAACAATGAGTAAACAAGACCCCTTTTAACGTCTTAGAAGAACAAGCTAAAAATGGAAGTACAGTGAGGTACAGCAAGTGAAGTTTTAGAAGTTAACAGGGCAGGATAAGCCAAATCCCACAGGTGCGATTGTATTCTCAGCATGGTAGGCAAACTATTGGAATCTTGAATTCACAGATTCCACTGGCTCCTAGTTGCAATGAATTGTAAGAGATAGGGAGAAAACCAGGAATCAGTTGAAAAGACCACTGGAGATGGCCCAGCCAGAGGAATGGTGCTGGAATGGAGGGTGGGACTAGGCTGGCAGCTGGAAGGATGTAAGACCAAGTAAAGTCTGGCTATGGAAAGAGGATAATCCTGATGGATTCACAGAATATTTTGGATTAAGAGAGCTGGCAGACGAAGGATAAAGCAATGCCGG